CCACCCCTGTAGCCCTCCTGCTACCAAAACCTTGCCATGCAAACCCAATACACTGTCTGTCTTGAGCACTGTAGCATGTGGTCTTAATTGCAGCCCTCGATGCCTCTGCACCAAAATAGAGACATTGTCCAGCGCTGAGTGGCATGGCAGGGCTCTGCTGGAGACCTGCGCTGAGGTTGCAGGCAGCGTTCTGCAGTCAAGGCTCAACCAGAGTTCCCAGCAAGTGTGACAGAAGTCTGCCTGAGTGAAAACCAAAGGATTGCTCCCAAATCACTTAAGTTGTGCAGGACGCTGCTGCATTCCATGCAGTGTTCAGGCTTTAGGATCTTATTAGATTAGCAAGTCTGGCTCAGGATGGACATGAGGATTGCAAATGTGCTTGCTGAGATCTCTGAAAAATATTTTATCCCCATCTGTGACCAGCAGCAGCATCCTTCTGTGGAGGAGCAGTCCATTTCCTGTCAGTAACCCAACTCGACCCTTGGGAATATTTTTTGAGAAGGGTTATCACTAGGTCCACCCTTGTTTGGATTTACGAAGGGTCTGAGCTGTCAGGACTCTGCACTTTATTAGAAGTTAGAATTTGAGACTGCAGGGAGAGCCCTAAGCAGTGCTGATACAATCAGCAGCAGTGCAGAGTGGGCTCAAACCAGTTAATATTTATCTTATTAATTAGTGAAAGTTCTAAGTCCCTCTCACTTTTGAGTCGGTAACAACAGGGTTTTTATATCTAAATGAGGCATTACCTTGCACTGCCGCAGAGCAGCTGACCTTGGCTGCTGCTTGGCCTGTGACTTGCCGGCAGAGGAAGGTGCCCTGGGAAGTCGCACTATTTGCTTCTCTTCGTGGCCTGTAAGTTCACGGCCCTGAAGAATATGCTTTCCCAGCAGTGCAGAGCCTCATAACATACAAGTATTTGTGCTAGGTTTTATATTGAAAATGCTAGGAAGGATGCTCTGTAGTGACCACACTCTCTCAATAGTTCTTAAGTATGGGCCGCTCCTCAGGTTTGTGCTTGGCTTGGTAACAACTCTCAGTTCAGCTTCCAGTGCTGCTGGCATTTCTTCTTGTGAGCTGTGGAGCTGTGCTGGCTTTCATGCTGCTAATGAGAAAGCTCAGGGTTAGTAGACGTAGGCTCCACTTACGGCACTGTTTACTGTTTCTTGTCACTGCTGTTACCCATTAATTTCCTTTTGATTCCTTCGCCTTCCCGCGAAGCTGGAAGCTTCCCTGAGCTGGAGGTATGAAGACCTTGTATGCTCCCAAGCCAATTTTAGAGGGATGGGTTGGCCGACTGTGTACTTAATATGCATAAAAATAGTGATTTTTAGAAAATCATGCAACCTGAAAGAAAGTGCAGACCCAAAGGATTTTATACATATGTGAGAAGATAGTCTGTTATGAGCAGACTATAATTTGCCTGAAACTTGTAATTTTAGCTCCCACACCTAGAGAGGCCAAGCTGATAGGCACCATGCCTGTTAGGTATTCAGGTTCACAGCATCATGGAGTTATTCCCAATCATCTGACAGAGCTGAAATGAATGGGAGTGGGACATCTTTAATCTTGGAGGGGGTTGGAAAACCCCAGGCTGCGTCAGTGTTTGCACTGGTAACCCGGGGGAGCGCCATGCTGATGGACTGAGTAAGGGGAGGGGGATTTCCAGAGGGCATTTCAACACTGAAAGACTGCGTTGAGTTGATTGAATCCATATAAAATTTGAAATTTTGTGGTGACAGGGTTATTAATGCCTGGCTTGTTCTACAGTAAACTTAGCAAGTGGCTGTGTAGCCTTACACTGCAATATAAACAAGCTGAATTGATTGATATGCATATATTGGCTGTTACTGGAAATTGAAGTGCTGTTTAATTGTGAGGATTGACTGAAATATGAATGGGAATTACACAGTTTGCACAGTGGATATAACTGTCCTGTAATACTGTGACAGGAGGGTTTTAATTGTTCATTTTCATTTCTTCTATTGAGTCACTTGCAAATATTTAATAAGTATCTATGACAAAGACATTTTTATGTTTCATTAGTTTTGAGGGGTTTTCTTTTAGACTAAGTATGGATTGTTGTAATAACTTGCCAAGACAACTGCTACACTGGTACGAAAGCGTACATGAATATTTGGTATCGATTTGGTATTTGATGTTGGTGCCGTCATTCTCGGTGTTAAAGTGCCAGGCTTGGGGAGCAGGGATGTGGTGTGTGCCAGGAGGCAGCAGTGCTCGTGGATGCACAGCTGTGCAAGGGTAGATGCTGACCCTGCCAAAATGAACAAGCACTTCATCATCTTCTGTGGGCTCCAGCATCAGGGCTGGGAGGAGAAGGGGGGCATGTGGAGGGGGAAAAGCCGCCTCGTGGCTGCTGCCTCCCTTCCGACAGAGACAGCCTCCAGGCTTACTGCTTCACATGTGAGAGATCGTAAGTATCAACACAGGCTTCATTCATTTCCCTGCAGCCATGACTGCTGCGAGGTGGGTTGTAGGTGGCACAGGAATATCTGCCTGCCTTCCTCCAGGACTGTCGTTTCAGATGGCAGAGGAGAATTGCTGCAGAGCAGGTGGCAGCCCCACTAAAGTCAGAAGATGATGTCAATCTGCATATAATTTTTGCAGTTTGTGTTTCAAGACAGATGAAACTAATAAATAGAGGAAGAAATGTAACTCTGTCCAAAGTTT